CGCCGGCGGCGGCGGGCGGGGCCTGGCTGCCTCCGCACCGCTCTGGAGGGCCCCCCCCTGCCTCGGCGGCAGGGAAGAAGGAGAAGCAGCAGAATAGCAAGGGGCCGGGCTGGACCCTGCGTGATCCCTGCACCTACCAGAGACCCTTTAACTGCTCCAGGCTCTCCTTCACACGTCCCTCCACCGTCTCCCATATTCAGTGCTAGGACTGCGGCTCCGTCTCTCCACCCGCCCTCCCATTCGTTTCTTATCTCACTGTTTACTTGCTAGTCTGTCTCAGCTTTGGGCGCCCCCTAACCCCCAGTGGTTCCCCTTCTTCTGTTCTGACATGTCGCTCCTTTCTTCCTCTTTTTTAAAAAATCTGATTTGTCTCCACCTCGCGTGGGCTTTGGCTTATCTCCCCTTTCTTCTTTCTCTTCTTATCACACATGATTGCAGGGAGGGGGTCGTCTTATTTCAGGACCCCATAAGAAGGAAGTGGGCTAGAGAGTATTTTTATCTGAAATCTCATTTGGGGCAAGGATGTGTTTGACATCACTAGCGGGAATGGAAATAAGTCCATTTAAAAGTTGAAGGAGAGAGATTGGCCTGATTTTAGAAAGTCACACAGGAAGTGTGGAGATGAACTTTGACACCAAGAAGAATAGTTTGGGATCAAGAAATTCCCCAGTCCTCAAAGGCAAGGGTGGTAGCAAGAGAACAGAGTGGGAGAAGAGGAAGATGGGGAGACGAATGGCTACCCGAAGGGTATATGTCTGTGGGGATCCTCTCCCAACTTCTCGTGCCATGCCGCCAAAGGTTGAGGCTACCCCGCGAACCACCCTCAGGTCAGTGGCATGCGTGAGAGAGAGGGAATGGTGTATATGTGTCTTTCTGCCACTGTCTCTAATCCTATGGGCCTGGATGACAGAGAATGGTTCCTCCAGGATGTATGTCTCCATTGCATTTTCCATGTCTATCTGACCAGCTGATGTACCCAACTACCCATTTCTCAAACTTCCTTTTGAAGAAGCCTGGAGCTTTGGTCCCCTTCCCACACAAAAATCCAGGTCAGTGTTTCTGTTTTCTTCATTCACTGATCTTTAGGATCTGTTCGGGAGACATTCTTGGCGCCCCTCTTTACAGTAAGAAGTGTCTCCTCTGGGGCTAGCTGGTCTCCATCAATCTGAGCAGGTCCTCAGGGATGGGCTAGGGCACTGACTGCTGTCCATGGTCCTGAAAAGGTTCTGAAAAATCACCGCGGAATTGGAACCGGCTGTGGTGTTTGGAACATCAAAGTGGGGTTTGGGTCCCCACAAGCCTTAGGGTGAGCAACACCCCCCTTAGACTGTACTCTTCTTCTGTGAGGATGCATATGAGGAGGTTGCAGGGGGCCAAGAATCCTGGGCTCTAGGAGTGAAGTAAGTATGAGAAGTGGGCTCAAGGGAAAAGCCCTTGAATTTTTCCAGGAGAACGAATGGGCGAGAAGACACATTGGAAAGGAAGAAGGGTCTAGAAAGTGACAGGGAGGGGTAGAGAAGGGCTCATCCTAGTTCGCCCACTCTGATTCAAGTTGAGAAACTCTGTATGCCCCAATGTCTCCTCTCCCTAGGCCAGCTCCCACTCCCCTTGCCTCCCACCTCCATGAGGCTATTTTTGACTGTGCAGAACCAAAAATAGCTTGGCAGCAGCTTCAGGCCGTGGGAGAGGAGCTATTTATATCACCAGTGACGGTTCCGAAATAGCAAGCAGGAGGAGGGGGGCGGCTGGCAAGCTAGAGAGCTCCTGGCCGCTGCTAAAAATACTGGCAGTGTGAGTCATCCTGGCCTGGCTGAGTCACCCGCTCCTCCCCTCCTCCCTGCTCCCCAGCGGCAGGCGGCAGCAGCAGAGCAGGCTAAGAATTGGAAGCCTGAGATGGGGGAGGCAGCGGAGCCTGTTGGCTATGGAAAAGTGGGCAAGAAGAATTGGGAGAGGGGCTTTGGGTGAGCATGTAGACAGAATGGGGAGAGCAGGAACCTCACAGGCAAACCTGCTGGGTGAGCACGCTGTCTTCCCAGCTATGCAGTACTGCTCTGGGAAGCTGGGTAGGAGCCAGACGTGTGTGTGTGTGTGTGTGTGTGGAGGGAGCCAGCTTGTGTGTATGTGTGTGTGTGTGTGTGTGTGTGTGCGTGCAAAAGAGAGAGAGAAAGACACTCATTTCACTACTGTCTGTTTAATCCCTGTGTGGTGTCTACATTGAAACCTGTCTGTCTGAATGTGTTTGTATGTCTGTATCTGTTTGCATGTATCTTTGTAGCTGTGTGTCTATATCCCTGGATATTTATGTATTTGTCTATGCCTGCAACTATGCCTGCTTTTTAAAAAAACAAAAACAAAAACAAAAACAAAACAAAACAAACAGGTCTCTGACTTCCGGTGTTGTGTGCGGTTCTGTGTTTGTGCCTGTGTGCATTTATGTCTATGACTTTGTGCGTGCCTCTCCATTTGTGTGTGTGTTTGTGTCCATATCTGAGTCTTCTCTGGGCCATTTTCTCTCAGCTCCTGATGATGTGTGTGGATTTGCATGCTTCCTCAGACTTAATATACCTTCTGTTGCCCTCTCTGATGTCACTTGTTGGGCTCTGGGACCATCTACCCCTTGCTCCCTTCTCGCCATCCAATATCTTCCCTTGTTTCCAGTCCTTGGCTTCCACCTAGGTGCAGAGGTCTCTGCTGCATGCAATCTCTAGTAAAAACATGGGGGTGGGGTGGGGGAGAAGCCTCATTTGACCTCTCCCCTTTCTCTTGCACCATCCTGAATCTTCCCTGGCCTGCAGGAGTAAGTGGTTTTTCCATCACTCCATATTTGGGAGCTGAGAGAAGAGATGGGCTTTCTTTAGTTCTAAAAAAAAAGAAAAAAAAATCCTGGTGTGGGCACAGGCATGAGTAGCGTGCGCATGCACACACACACACACACACACACACACACACACACAACTGAGAGAATGAGAGAGAGAGAAAAAATCAAGGTCCCTTCTTTACTGAGATGAGCTCTCGCATCTGTTGCCATGGCAACCCGCCCACGCCTTCCCTGAAAAATCACCAAGAAGAGGTGATGGCATCGAGGAGCGATTGGCTGGTTCCTTTCTTTATTATTTTTTCCCAAAAAGGGCTTTTTATAGCAAGGAC